CGCGGGGCCAACGCCCGGCACGTGCGGGCCGGGGCCGGCTCTCAGCTCCCGCCCGCGGGCGCCACGTCCACCTGTCAGCCTCAGGTCCAAGAGGAAATTTTGGGATAGCTGCTTCGCTGCTTGCAGTCTGAACAACTTAATGATCTCCCGAATGGTGGGCAACGGCGGAAGGCGGAACCTCGCCGACGCAGCCATGGCGCCAGGGAGGGGCGCGCGGGCCCATCACCGGCCCAAGCCCGGAGCTCGGCGATTTCCGGGAGCTGCCCGCGAGGGCGGTGCCTGGGGAACGGAAAGCCCGCCTCCGGGCCAGCCTCATTGGTCGGTATTTCCAAGGCTCAGGCCGGAAATCCGGGTACAGTGAGAGGGCACGCACGGCGCCCCGCCCCTGCGCTGTGGGCTGGCGTGTGGGGGTGGTTTCCGCTTGCGAGCCCCAGTGGATTCTGGGAGCCGGGGGGCGTGGCCTCGGGAAGCGGCGGCTAGCGTGGCCCCGCCCCCGTGGAACCCGGCAGGCCCTAGAGGTGCCGAATGTCGGCGCGGGCCTGGTGTCTGGCCAGCGGATGGCAGCAGCTAGTGTGTGCTGGCCAGTTTTTCTCATGCCTGGGCATTTTTAGGGCATCCAGCTCCTCCAGGCCTCAGTGTTTCATCTAACTTGTGCGCCTCCAGGCCTCAGTGTTTCATCTAACTTGTGCGATGCACAGAAACAGCCGACTGGCAGCCGGGCTGGCCAGGTCACTACGCTGGCCCGGCCTGGCCTGGCCTGGCCCATGCATGAGGTTCAGAGGCCATTCTGGTGAGAAGAAAACTCACCTTGTTTATATTGGTTTTAATACAATAAAGAAACAAATTCAAGATAGGTTTCATGGTGCCACCTTGAGCTTGGCTCATTTCACCTAACAAATTAAGTTGCATTTGGTGCGGGGATGCCTCCAGATTGAATCCCGAGGCAGGGAACCGCAGGCTGGTTTTAAACCCCATTTAGTATACTTCTGTAATAAACACCTGTGATAGTGATAGCCCCTGAGCTTTCTTCCATAGTAGGCTGCCAACCAACCCGGATAGGGCAACATTCCTACCTAGCTGCACTCCCTCGTCTCCACTAATACTGCCTGGCCATGCATCCGGATGGAGTTCTTCCAACCTGTTCCCAAGTGCCCGATTTGAGGATAACAAATGTCTGCCTGGATCTTTTTTATTTGTTGTAATTTTGCTTTTGACATGAGTACTTTAGACTTTAGGAAGATTTTTGTGTGTGTGTGCATATCTCTGTTTTTATTCAGTTGTTCAAAGAAATTTTAGTTCAACAAATCAGGTTACGAGTTCAGTGCATCTTGATTAATGTCGTCCCTTCCATCATTCTCCCTCATGGAAAATGTTTCTCTATACAACCATAACTATTTATTTTTCTGGTCGTGGGGCTTGAACTCAAGGTCTGGGCATTGTCCCTGAGCTCTTTTGCTCAAGGTTAGTGCTCTACCACTTTGAACCACAGCACCACTTCCTACTATTTTTTTTAAACATCTTAACAGTCTTATGAACTAGATCAGTATTACTAGCCTCAGTTAAGGCAGAGTAAACAAAAATTAACTTATTTAGTAATGTAACAATGAGGCTCAGAAAACTGTTGAATCTAGTCAAAGTTCACTGAGGTGGTTTGGTGGCTAATGTTTCTACTACAATACTTATACAGCAGGTATTAGCTACTACTCTAACTTTTTTTATGTGGGTCCTGGAGATTGAACTCTGGGTCTGGGTATTGTCTCTGAGCTCCTTTTGCTCAAGACTAGTACTCTTACCACTGGAGCCACAGAACTATTTCTGGCTTTTTCTGTGATGACTTAGAGATAAGAGTCATGGACTTTCTTGCCCAGCCTGGCTTCATACCATGATCCCCAGATCCCAGACTCCTGAGTAGCTAGGATTACAGGTGTGAGCCACCAATGCCCCACTCCATTCCAACTTCTTAGTGTCCTTTGTCACTTCTATTGTGGCCTATCCTGTCCTTTCTCTCAGAGCAATAACTGGAAAGCTAAAGAAACTAGACAAGTTTATACAAAAATAGAAAGTCTACAATTTATAAAGCTTTTAGAAAAGTACTATGCTTCACAACTGTTTCAACTATGGTATTATTAATTTAGAAATCCATGTTTCATGTTACTTCATGCAATTCTTTTTTAGATTCTATCTTTTTAGGTTCACAAAGCCCTGTCATTATGCTAATACATAGTGGAGATGAGTATATAATTCAGATCTTTTGCTTCAACTGCATTGTTAAATTAACCTTGTATTAAATAATTTTTGAATGAATAAAAATTTCCATCTGAGGAGGGTTTTCTGAGATCTTAATAATTCCTGAGATCCAATTTTTATCATCATAAATATCTGATCCTGAGTCTTTTAATTTCAGAAAATTATGCAAAATTCCTTGTAAGTGGCTGTGAAATCAGCAGGGGTGTTTTAGTAGTATATTTCACATGTTAAATGCAAACAGTTTTATTCCTCAAAAGAAAAGTATGCAGTTTCATCAGTTTTGAAGCTTTGAAGTATCTGCTTCATCTAGATATAGATTTTAATAAGGTAAAATATTATAATTAAAACAGAAGTTGCTGGCCCCTCCTATCAGCATAGAGGAAGAACTACAAATGATTCATACCAAACTATAATACAGAATTTTAATTTGCATAAATCCCAGAATAGCTATACAGGAAAATTACTTATTAGTTTAGTTTTTATTTTAATGAAAATGCATATATGACTTTATTTGATAGAAGTAATTTAGGGTCTATTTATGGGGAAAATGCAAATTCCAGAGACTGTCATTTTACAGTTCCTTGAAAGAGACTTGAAAGCCACCAAGAGCAATATCTATTTGCCATGTGGGAATTTTCAGAGAAAATTAAGTGTGGCTTGGAATTGCCAACTTGAACTTTGTAAAATGATGATTATGATATGTAAAGTGCCCTTTTCTGATAGTATTTAATAAGTCTGTAGAACGTGACTCAATGCTCTAGAGAAACGTAAAGAGCTACATTTGTTTTGCACGGTTTGCTGTTTTTTTTTTTCTTTGTTTGTTTCTAACGGCTGTTGGATGCCCATTAGTCACAAAGGAATCCCGTGACTTACCTAAGGGAAGAAGAGACCATGAGAATTCACAGCAGCTAACGAACTGCTTCGGGTGTGGTAGGGAAGCGGGCAGCTCTGGGGCAGCAGAGGATGTACATTGCCTGAGGAGTGTTCACTGCTACTCCAGGCAGGATTTGAATGCCCATCTGTGCAGGAAGTATTTGAGTGGGGTGACAGGACAGGCAGCTCTTTCTACTTAGTACCATCCAGGGAGCATGGGAATGCAGGAAGGGCTCAGGAAGCAACTCTTTTTTGTGAACGAAGAACAAATCAGCTAGGCCTAAAGGCATTGTACAGTATGAGCCTTTCTTTATATTATTTGTTTATTCGTGAATAACACTATGAGAACTAATACACTTGTAATGAATCTTCACTATACATGTAAAAAGTTCTGTGGAGGAATTGGGTGTGCCTGTGGCTTCTAGAGTTTTTAGGAAGCAGAGATGATGAGTGTTGTGGTTTGAGGCTAGCCTGAGCAAAAAGCAAGACCTTATCTCAACAAGCAAGCCTGGCGTGGTGTTCTATATCTATAATCCTAGCTATATGGCAGGTAGAAGTAGGAGAATTGCAGTCTGAGGCCAGCCTTTCTGAAAAATAACTAAAGTAACATGGCTCAACTGGTAAGACTTGAACAAGTGTGAGGCCTTGAGTTCAACCCTCCCCCCCCCAAAAAAAAAAGTAATGTGCAGACAGGTTGTAAATAGGACCCCCGGGTTCACAGAGTAAGTGGGAGTCCCTGGGCATCTTGGTGCAGGTCCCTTTCCTTCCCTAGCAGAGGTCTACAGGCAGGCTACAAAATGGTGCACAGCGAGCGATTCCTTTCTCTGTCCTAGGTCTCCTATTCTTGCTCAGTCCCTGTGCTGGTTCCATCCAGCAGATACCTGGGTGCTGGATCAGCAAGATTCCCACACAGTGTCATTTCATAACCTTTTAATAAAACCAGTGGGTGAGGAATAAGTTTAATTGACGACATGTTGAAACCCAAGAGGTCTTCCCCATCCACTGCTTTTGTAGGATCAGACTGTCCCCTTTCAGACACTCATACTACTGTGTTTTTACTCAGACTTAGGATAAACACTATACAACCTGCAGTTTTCCATTGTCATCAACCATTCTCCATGTACTCAGTTATAGTTCCTACAGGGCCCCAGAGTTCCCACATTTCCCCCATTTACTAATGAGGAAACTAAAGAAAAGCTAAATGTCCAAAGTTCACATACCCTTTTTTGGACAGAGAAGGAGGCTGAACTTGGATATCAGACTATAGCATTTGCATACTTCAACTCTGGCCAGTGTTCATGTACTGTTATTCCCTCTGAAGCTATTAATGACTCTGTGTCTTTGTTTTTTCATGTGCCAACTTCTCTTTCTCTACCCAAACTCAAGAATATTATGTATATACCATGCCAATCTAAGATCTGATTCCCCCCACAATACTTGGTTGGCTCCATGAAACATTTCCTTTCCCACAGAGTAACTCACTCTAGCATCCTCAGAGTCATCTCAAGTTCCAAGTTAGCAACAGATCGTGCACCACCCCTGCAATACTTTCTTTCTTTCTTTCTTTTTTTTTTTTTGGGTCCCGTCATGGGGCCTGAACTCTGGGTCTGAGCACTGTCCCTCAGCTCTTCAGCTCAAGGCTAGCGCTCTACCACTTGAGCCATAGCACCACTTCCGGCTTTTTTCTTTTTGCTTATGTGGTGCTGAGGAATCAAACCCAGGGCCTCGAGCATGCAAGGCAAGCGCTCTACCACTGAGCCACCTTCTCAGCCATAGCCATCCTGCAATACTTTCTAAATTGACCATATCTTAATCTCTGGGACATGTTCCATGTTAGATGATGAATGGCAGAGGGGTAACAGGTTGTTGGTGGCAGTTAGGTTGCCAATTGTCTAATTATATGATCAAGTGATTGTCCTGGATTATACAGGTAATATCAAAGTCATCATTAGAATCCTTCAAAGTGGAATATGGGATTGATAGAGCACTGAAGGAATCCTAACCATTAGACCATCCCTGAGTATCTGGAAGATGGAATGGAAAGAGAGTCAGGAGAGATGGTCCCGTGGGAAGGACACTGCCTCCTGTTGCTGACTGGGAAGCTGTAAGAGTAGGATCAAGGTGGAGAGA